ACAAAAGACTGGAAAAGTCTAGGAAATTCACTGGTTAAAAAAAAGGTGAGAACACTGAAGTTTGAATGTTTTGAATTTTAATTAACTGTAAATGTAATTATTAGTAACTTATTTTAATCTGTGCACACTCTTTGTTTCTGTACACCTGCAGTAACACACTCTTTTTCTCTCTATATGCACCAGACACTTTTTTATATAAACACTCCCCGTTACAAGAACTTAATAAGAACAAATGTTTACTTGCGAATGCACCACAAATTGCTTCTTACCTTATAATACCTCTTTTGCACAATATCATGTACAGTCATTATGTAAAGTTGTATAGTCCGTCTTAGATTACGTGCATGTGCAGTCAACTATTTATAATAAACTATAGCTAGATTACTGCTTTCAGTAAGTTAGTTATGTATAGGTTTAAAAATAGTCTAGTGTTGCATGCTTATATTTATGTTTATGTTTAACTATGTAGCACCTGCGAGAATGACAAAGCTCGACTTGACTTGACTAATACACTAGAAAACTCGTTTATTACAGCAGATGAATCAGAGGCATGGGACGGATCTGAATACACTGCAGTGAACAGCAGATGAGCTCTGACCTCTGACCCCACACACACCTGACATGAAGGTGAATCCTGCGGGCAGCTGCATGACTCCTGCGCTCTTGGCTCCGCTCGCGCCGGCGGACGGCAGGTAGTTAGTGATGGGGAAGGACGAGCTGCTGGAGGAGCTGGGGACGGTGGTGCTGGCCACGGAGAACGCCGGCTTCAGAGCGTCCTGCGAAGAAGAGCATCATCATCATCATCATCATCATCATCACCATCACTGCAGCAGAGCTAACGGGCACAAACCATCGCATGACCTGACACGAAGATATCATTAACATCATGATTTTCTGAAACTATGTAAAACCATACACACCTCATATTTCTTTTCCATGCATTTAATTAGCTAATAAGTAGCCATGGAATAATGTTCAGTCAAAAGTTGAAATAAACCCCTTCGGGATGATAAAAGCAGTGCTATTTTATCATTTTAAGCTTTTATTTTAAATCTCTCAATTTAACTAAATTTTAGTTGTAGCAATTTTATGTGATTTTGTCATTTTTATTAGTAATTAGTAAGTTTATTAATATTTAATTTATTTATACTTAGCATTCACTTATTTTTAGTTATTGTAATTTTAGGAATTCAACTTATTTTATTTCAGTTTAAAATATTTCTGAGTTGTGTTTACGTTTTTTAAAGTTTAGATTTAACGTTTTAATCTCATATTTATATTTAATTAAATTAATAAAAATGATTTTTAATAGTTTTCGTTCATATAACAATAACAGCCCGCTGCAGTGTGTTTTCTCATAACGAGCAGCTGACTGAACACTATTCTTCACATATATACTGACTGCAGTTATAAAACCGGCCGAATCTTCAGAACTAGTTTTACAGTAAATCCTGCAGTTCAAATAAAGTTCAATGCGCTCATCTTTTATTGTGACTGTTACCATGACAACTGCTCTTAAAGGCAACAGAGCCTCCACACATCTGACACACACACACACACACACACACACACACATATATCATCTGCATTACTCTGGTAGAGATGTATTTCTGTTTTCATCTCACTACAGTGTCAGATATTAGATATACTAGATATTACACTACATTCACTGTGAGTGTGTGTGTGTGTGTGTGTGTGTGTGTGCGTGTGTGTGTGTGTGTGTGTGTGTGTGTGTGTGTGTGGGTTATGAGGACCCTCGAGGAGGAAATGCGTGCGTGCACACACACACACACACACACACACACACCTCTCCTGCAGTGTGTCGAGTGGATCTTTCACTCTGAAACTTCACCCAAGTGTGTGGTGCTGAGGAGCGAGATGTGAAATGAGACGCTGATGGAGGAATTCTTCTGACGATGTGATGTGACAACAAGTGTCCTTGATGGATAAAAATGTTACTTTAAAAAAAAAAACCCTTCTGAACAGTGTTCAGTCATACTGAAACACACTGTCATTTACAGGCATAAACATCTGAAGCTCAAATCAAAAGTTGAAGTTATAGATCTGCAGCTCAATTAAACCGGTTTCTTCTGTCAGAGGCAAAACCACAGCAAGACAAATGCTACTAAACCAGAGACACAGACGGATGAACACCTCGTGAAGTGCAGTGTGTGATTGAGCGATGATTCCAGAGGTTTATATGTGACTGATAGAGTAGGTCAGAGGTAGAACGGACAGTGTTCAGTATCTACTGTATTAAAGCAAACGCATCCAGCTGCTGAAATGCATCCAATTCATTGTCATTGTTTTATTTCTCTGACCTTCATCAGTCATTACTGACACTCACAGCACTGTCAAGCTCATGTATGTTATTTAACTGCACATATATCTGCACAATACAGTATTATTCATGTATTCAGTGCTTCTGTTCCTCACAGCAGAATAATGAGCCGTGGGCTTTTATTTCTGAAAATGTGCTGGTTATTGTCATCATCAGGTATGTGCAGACAATTAATAACGGTGTCTTTGTTACAGCCATTATTCTCATTCTATGCAACCTTGAGCTTCTCAAACACACAGATGAACAATTACACAAACACAACATGAACCTGAAATCATTCATTCTGAGTTTCAGAGTCTAGAAACACAAACATCAATACATGAGACGCGACGTGATTTGACAAACAGTCATACACTCACACACTCACTCACTCACACACACACACACACACACACACACACTCACACACACTCACACTCACACACTCACACACACTCACTCAGACACACTCACACACACTCACACTCACACTCACACTCACACTCACACTCACACTCACACACATTGTGGATTGGGCAAGGCTAAAAGGGCTGAACGAAAGTCTCAATTCAAATTAATCAAATAGAATCGACTCAGAAGAGATGTGAATGAGTTTTTATTCACAAACATGTCAGTATTTGTACAAATCGCTGCACAATCATTTAATCCCGAATTCCACAGACTCGAATTGAAAGGCATTTGTTTGTGGTTAGTAAGATACATGTATAAAATGTATGCAGTACGTGAATAATTGTGCATGCATCTATTAATCATTTTGAGTCTAATATCATTCCATATTCTAGGGAACAAATTAATGAAACATGGACAGTGGCCACAAATTAATAAGTGGTAGGAACGAATTATATAAATCTGTCCTGCTCGTGTCACGCTGCCCTGTCTATGCACAGAGCCCGATATGAAACATTTATCTGGGGAAATTATAATTAAACATGAATTATTTATTACATTTCAGTACAAAAGAACTTTGTATTGTTTCTGTTTAAATGTACTTTTAAAGTTTGGATCACATTAAAAGCTTAATTTGTACGTTAGTGTATTATTTTCGGCAAAGATCCAGCCCCATCGCACGTGTTTTGCGCACGCAGCCCAAAATTAAACGGCTTAATCGACCATCGATCGTCGATTAATCGCCGACATCCCTAAACCAAACCAGCCAGATACGAGGAGAATCATAACATTACAAACTTCAATTTGAACCAAAAAAAATATTAGAAAATCAGACTGTCGATTTAACAGCTTTAACGAGGAAAATAACTACTATTTATTTAAAGTTGTTGATTATATCGATAGACACAATATATTTTATGTTTATTACAAAATAACGACATAACATCATATAACGTCATTTGCAAAAACCGATATATTGGCCGATATTTGGCTTTTTTTTATTATAGGCATCAGACAGTTATTTTTTCTGTTTGGCCGATATGTCGGAAGCAGGACTTTTATTATCTTTGGAAGCCCGTTTCCTCCACTGAATAAAACATAAAAATAAAAAAGGTAATTGCAACTTTTTCATCTCACAATTCTGACTTTTTTCTCAGAACTGCGTGATATAAACAAAGTCAGAATTGTGTGATTAAAAACCTCACAATTCCAAGAAACAAAGTCACAATTCTGAGAAAAAAAGTCAGAATTGTGGAAAAAAACAACAACTAAGAATTGAGACATAAATTCGAAATTGTGAGAAAAAAGTCAGAATTGAGATAGAGTAATTTTTTAGGCTTCCATAGATATATCACTGTATTTTAACCATCAAAAAATCATTATCAGTCGACCACTAATTATGAGAGTAAATAGTGCTGATACTAATGTTGAGTGTGTGCGTATATATACTGTGCACTAGTGTTTCCAGCAGCTGAAACTGGTTTGAAGTCAGTTATTTCTATCTTTTGCTGTAGTGTGTCAGGAGGAAATATCTGTTAACTGTAATATGTTAGTGCTGCACACAGAGATCTGATCTGATCCTCATCAGTCTGTCTGGAGTCACATGAAGAAACAGAACAAACTGAGACAGACTCAATCCAGAAGAACTGATGCTTCAAGAAACCTCCTGCGAAGCTCCTGAGAAACTCGGCTCAAGTGCACCGAGGGCACAAGCTGCTTTAAACACAAAGATGCTCACACCAGATGTTGATTTCATTTCATTTGTTAATAGAAGTTAATTGATAAAGAAAATCTTTTTTTGACAGCATCCTTATTTTATAGCATTTTTACACAATTACACCATGTCTCCACTTTTCAAAACGCTTATAAATCACACAGAATGGAGTGTATTGAAAATCTGAAATAGCAGAAAGTCTCCTGTGAGGGGTAGGTTTAGGGGTAGGGTTGGTGTAGGACAATAGAATATACGGTCTGTACAGTATAAAAACCATTACGCCTATGGAGAGTCCCCACTTTTCACAAAAACAAACCTGTGTGTGTGTGTGTGTGTGTGCGTGTGTGTGTCTGTGTGTGTGAGTGTGTGCGTGTGCGTGTGTGTGTGTGTGTCTGTGTCTGTGTCTGTGTGTGTGTGTGTGTGTGTGTGTGTGTGTCTGTGTCTGTGTGTGTGTGTGTGTGTGTGTGTGTGTGTCTGTGTCTGTGTGTGTGTGTGTGTGTGTGTGTGTGTGTCTGTGTCTGTGTGTGTGTGTGTGTGTGTGTGTGTGTGTGCGTGTGTGTGTCTGTGTGTGTGAGTGTGCATGTGTGTTTAAGTGTGTGTGTTGTGCTCTGTGCTCTCGCTCTAATCTCTGTGTGTCTGTGTCTCTCTCTGTCTCTCTGCCAGCCGTGTGGAATTCACAGCTCCATTTGGGACGCCTAAAAAAGGCAAGGCAGCCCAAGTTAGAGAGCTGCAGCCAATCGCAGCTGCTCGGCCCTCCCGCCGCTGACGCATCGCTCAACACACACCTCCAGCACACGCTGCTCAACACACACCTCCAGCACACGCGTGTCGCGTGTCCGTCAGGAGAAGAAGAGTGTGCTGATAAACTCAGTGCAAACACACAGAAACACAACACATTCACACTGATGCATGGACACACACTTTTCTCTGATGAGCCTCACACTGCATTGAAGGTAAACATGTTATCATCTCATGCATTCCCTGGGAATCGAACCTATGACCTTGGTGTTGCAAGCGGCATGCTTTAGTAAATACACAAGATGTGTTTATATTGCATTGTCCTGCTGCTTAGAATGAACACACAGTATCTGATTCATTCACAAATGACTCTTTTGAATCAATCAGTTAAAACGATTCTAAAATCAAACTCAAACTGTTCGAATCACTCTGACTGAATCAGTCCCAGCAGCTCTGGACTCCAAATGAATCTGTAGGAATCAGTGATTCGTGCTGGTTCGTCTCTCACGCTGAGGATCTTTTGAATCACACAGACGCTCAGTTAAGCGGCGGCGTCTGATAAAGCTGCATATCTCAGTAAATGAACTTTCCATTAT